TCAAATTGAAATTGAAATTGCTTGAAACTCAACAGATACATCACATTTATTAGCCAGTAGACGTGCAAAGTTTCAGAAACGGGCAATGTGCAAGGACTAAATAAGCGCCACCTTTTGACAAAAGTGGGGGTTGTTAGTTTTATCTACAGTTACAAAAATCGGTATATCTACATTGTATCCCTCAAGCGGACACACTTTCTAATACATAGTCATTAGCTCGGACCAAGAGGAAGTAGATATTTTGGTTTGAAATATGGTGAGCCTCTCTCTGAGCCTACGTCCCTGTATGGCAAGCCCTTTTAACATTTAAAAGCTAAGTTTGCCTGTCCGGAATTAACATTGTAGATATAACAACGTCTTTCTGTCTATTCGTAATTACATTTTGGATAGTTTGTATTATCATTTAAGACATCTGTAACATAATTGTGACTAGTCGAAATGACAGAGTATGGCAAGCCGTTTTAACATTTAATCATAAAAGGGCCAAAGCCTTCGTCACCCGCTAACCCGGGTGCCTTTAGGTAACTAAGGAACCGGGGTTGCGGTGCCACCGGCTTGGGCCCGCCATCGCTGCTCGCAGCTATATTTTTTTTTTCTTTTTTCTTTTTTCTGCAAAGTAAGCGCCATTTTCGGGGCCTTAACATGCTCAAAAACTCACCAAATTTGGCACGCATGTCAGGACTGGTGAAAAATTTCATATTTTGTGGGTTTCGCGGATGGGCGTGGCAAAATGGCTCCCTAGCGCCACCTAGAAAATTTGAAAAAATTTGCCCCTCGTCCACGTTCAACCTACAACACGAAATTTGGTGGGACGTGTATCATATCAAGATGCACAAAAAAGCCTCAAGAACCCCATACCCTAAACTCAACAGGAAGTCGGCCAATTTTGAATTTGGCGCCCATTTTGGGATGATTTACACACTCAGTATTTAACGAACTCCTCCTAGGGATTTAGTCGGATCGACTTCAAATTTCTGCTGTGCCTTTCTAAAGGCATTGACGATGTAAAGTTGTGCTATCTGCGCGTTTTCGTCGATGGGCGTGTCCGTGGCGTCGAAGATTCGCCATGAACAGGAAAGTTGTAGTAACTTGGCTGTAAATGCCCAGATCTGCACGAAATTATACACATTTGACAAGAGTCCCGCCCTGAACAAATCTACATGCCGACATTCACCCACAGTCATAGCGCGCACCTGCTGGCAACAGGAAGTGACCTTTAACGAAGCAGCCCCGCCGCTTGTTTGACCGACATGTACGAAATTTCTGTGGTACATCTACCATGACCAGACGCACAAAAAAGCCTCAAGAACCCATACCCTAAACTCGACAGGAAGTCCGCCATTTTGAATTTGGCGACCGATTTGGGACGATTTACACACTCCGTACTTTAAAGAACTCCTCCTAGGGATTTAGTCGGATCAACTTCAACTTTCTGC